TGCCCCCAGCACCCTCCAAGGCCAGAGGCTTCTTTCCCTGATTGCCTATCCCTGAGGGCAAGGCCCCTCGAAGGTTTTCTTAGAACCCCAAGAGGGGCACCAGTGCTTGTGCAGGTGCTGGGCTCTCGGTACCTGTCCTGGGGCATAGGGCCCCCGGGAGGGAAGGGTCCCCTTCTCCACGACTGCATTCAAGTATTATTACCTCTGGTGTCAGGATGGCTGAGGATGGGTGTGGAGAACCTGGGCTGTTCCCTCTTCTGTGTGGATCAGAGAAGGGGCAGGAAGGTCTGCAGCTAAGCCAGCTGGAAGGCCAATGTGCTGTTGAGTTCGGATCAGAATCTGGACTTGGACTAGACCCATTTGCCTAGGTCTCATCCCTTGTCTTGCTCTCCATCACCATCAGTTATCTCTTTGAGCAGGTGGGTTTGTGCTACAGAGGACAGTAGGTAGGAGAGGCTTTGGTCTTTGTTCTCAGACAAGAAATACAACAGGGTAGGGCCAGGCACCATACCCCTGGGGCTTGGATAGGCTTTGAACAACAGAAAGCTTTACCAGAAAGGTGCTGATTTTTGACACATGTCCCATGGGCAGGCAGAGGCCCTGGTGGTCAAACTCAGGAGTCTGAACTCTGATTCCAGTGCTCATTCTCTTGCTCACAGTCCCTTTGCAGGTGGCCACAGCGTAAAGCACTTCCACTCCCTCCTGAGTCTGAGTGGGACCAGTGGCATGGGAGCAGCAGAAAAGCCATTTGCTCCAGTGTCTGGGGCATAGGAGGGCGAGGCGTGCAAGGGGTGCATGTTCAGGAGGGGTGCACACTCCTGCCCAGGGCCACATGTCTGGAAGGACTAGACTGGCCTCATTGCAGTGAGGCGGGAAGGAGAGGCCTCTGATGCTTTGTCACCCTGGAGGGCTGGGCGTGGGGACAAGGAGACATGGTGAAGTGAACAGGCACCTTCCTGCCACACAGAGATTCTCATCCAAGCCAGGAGGGAAGCTCTTGAGCTGCTGGAGTCTGAATCTTCAGGCCAGCCCAGAGACAACCTTGAGAGAGAGAGAGAGAGGCCCTTGAGAGAAAGAGGCTTCACTGAGCTGGTGTCTGGCGGTAGAGCTGGGGGTGGCGCGGGGGGGGGGGTTAGGCTGGAGGAAGGAGGATCTAGACTGGCAGAGCCCGACTGGTTGCCTCATGTCTGTCTGCCTCCCTCCTGGACAAAGTCAGAAGTCCACAGACACAAGCATGTGAGGGGAGGAGAGATGGGGTGGTGTGTCCTTGAGCCCGGGGTTTTCCAGGCTGAGATCCCTGAGGATGCAGGCCCCATCCAGCTGGGGTCACCAAATCAGGCTTTCCCAGCCTGGGGGATGCCTTTCTCAGTGCTTGCTTTTCAAAGTGCTTCCAGGCGGGCGCTGGAGAGGTGGAGGGCTTGCCTAGCATGCGCTAGGCCCTGGGGTCACGCCAGACACTGCCTCATCCACCCAAAAACAAAACACAAGAAGAAAATGTGCTTAAGGGGATGCGAATCCACGGCTCCAGGCGCTGGAGATGGGGTTTCCCTTTTCTCTGGTAGGAATGCCCCAGAAGTGACCAACCCCACCCACCTGGTTTTCATGTCACGGGTTGCTGGTCATCTTTCTCTTAGCCTCCCATTTCCTATCCGTGTAGTAGGGATGATAATTCTTCCCTCCCAGAGTTAGGACTATGGAATCGGATCCCATATGTAAAAGAGCTTCTTAAAGTGCAAATTCGCAGCACAGGAGAAAGAGATGACTGTTCTCTGGGAGGAGACCTAAGGGAAGAGGAAGCAGGAAGGAAGTCCAGGCGAGGTCAGGGCGAGGAAAGCTCTGAGCTCCAACCCTTCCAGCAGCCCTTCCGCCCTCCATTTCCTCCCCAGCCCTGGGCCTTGCTCTGGGAGCTTCAGGGTGACCGAGGACTGTGGAGTTGAGGGCGGGCAGGTGCAAGGGCGTCATTGCAGACTTACTCTCCCTCTGCTGCGGAGAAACTGGGGACCTGGATTAACGAGGTTGGGCAAGTCTGGTTCTTGGAAGAGGGAGATCCTCAGCAAACCCACTGCTTGCTGGAGTGTGCCGGGCTGACAGGACCCTGCGGTCCCCTCCTCAGCTCCATTCTGATTTTCTCCCAGTGTGGCCGGCCCCACCCTCCCCGCCATTCTGCCCATCCCCCTGGACAGGGAGGGGCTCCCCACGGCCTTGCTGTGGCCCAACCCTCCCTCCATCCTGTGGAATATGAGCCTTCCTCCTTAACATCAGACCAAGATGTAACAGCTGCTGGGAGCGAGCTGGTCCCCTCCCTTCCCCAGGGTGAGGGACAGATGCTCTGTGTAGAATTTCTTCAGGGAGACAGCCAACAAGGGCATGCTTTCTGTTCCTTGAGCTTCCTAGCCAAAAATGGGGGATTCGTCAGGGGACAGCTGCAGAGGCACGGCCTTGGGGAAGCCCTCCCCAGAGCACAGAGGGCCCAGGAAGACTTCTTGACTCGCACTTGAACCCAGCGCCCACCCCAGGGTATGGTGTAAGAGCAGGACTTTGGACACCTGACGGATGGACCTGGGTTTGAGTTTCAGCCTTGCGGCTTCTTCGCTGTTTGAATGTGGCTGCTTCCTTTCACAAGCAGTTTCCTCTTCTGCGGCAGGGAGACAAGCACCCTGCTGTCTAGGGTCCTCCTCGCGGGATCAATGAAGCAAGGTGCACAGAGTTTTCCCTGCAGTGCCCGGCAAACTCCACCAGCCCTGGAATTGCTAGTCCCTTCCCTTACAGCAGAGCAGGAGCTGATGACTTTCTGTATGTGCAGATTCACCATGGGCATCCGGGCATCACACAGCTTCCCGCACCCAGGAGCCCCCGTTCTGGAAGATCTCAGTGGAGGGTTTCTTTCAGTTTAGAATCTTGAGGCCCTCAGCGGTTCTGACTTAGGCCTTTTCATAATCCGAGAGAGCAGGATGTGAAAGAGATACGGGGCTTGGAAGAGAATAGGACTAGGGGACGAGAGAGAGAGAGAGAGAGAGAGAGAGAGAGAGAGAGAGAGAGAGAGAGAGAGAGAGAGAAACACTGAGAAAGCTAGACACACACAGATTCTACAGGCACACACTTGGGAGCCAGCGAGAGCTCACAGTCTAAAAGGCCTGCCTAGTCCTCCCATGGGGTGAGGTGTGCTAGTACCTTCCAGTCTCCAGGAGAGAAGGCGTGCCCCTCAGCCAAGGCATAAGGGCATCTCCTACCACTTCCAAGACTTCCCACTGACAGGAAGTGATTTACCTTTTCTAGTTCTCAATTTCTTCATCTGAAGAATGTGAATAATAAATCCCTGAACTTCTTATAGGGTTGTTGGGAGGATCCAAAGTGCTTGGTGAGGTGCGAGACAAGGGTGGGGGAGGTAGATAAATGGGGTTCTTTTCCATGTGGGCCACAAGAAACACCTGTCCCTCCAGACTCAAGGACCACCTGGGACCTTGAGTGGTTGCCTTGGCAACCCATGGCTTGGCTAACTCCTACTTGATCTTTGCTTTCAGCTTTAATGTCAATTGTGCCAGGAGGTCTTCCAGACCCTTAGACTTGGTCCCCTTCTTGCAAGCTTCCCTTTATAGCACTGACCCGGAGTTGAACAGTGTGGTTGGTTGTGGGATTATTTGTTCAATACCTGTCTTCTGTGCTAGAGTCTAAGTTCTGTGAGGAAAAAGAGTATGTCTCTGCTGCACACCATCTTGTCACCAGCATGTAAAAGTGTCTGGCATCCAGCAGGTAGGTGCTCCATAAAACCCTTGCCCAGTGAGTAAAGGTACTGCCTGCACCATGCCTGCCCTATGCCTCAGCCAAAACCTGATGCCCAACACCATCCATCACACCCTCCCTGCCCAGTGGCTCCTTGTGAGAAGCAGGGAAAGGGGGGAACCTCCATCCCCACTTATTATTCAAGAAACAATGACTCCCTTCTTCCCAGCCTCCTAACACAGCAGGCTCCACCCAGCCTCCAAAAGGCTGCAGGTGAGTAATCACTCTGTTTATTTATTTATCTCTGCACAAGGCTGCCCTCTGGTGGTTGAACATGCAGGAGGTTGGGAAGGATGGCAACAACCGCGGCCAGGAACCAGCCAGTCGTGCCAAGCTCCGAGACTGGCAGGTGAGGCTGGGAAAAGGTCAGCACTATCAAGAGGGTGTCCAGGTAAAGAGTTGGATCAGCTCTCCATCTTCTGATTGGCTCCCTCCAAATTTAAGCAGGTAGGTCCCAAGATATTAAGGAAGGTTCCCAGAGACTTGGGAGGCTAAGGCAAGAGGATCACAAATTTGAGGCTAGCCTAGGCAATTTAGCAGAACCCTATCTCAAAACAAAATATAAAAAGGGATGGGGAATGTAACTCAGTGCTAAAGAACCTCTGGGTTCAATCCCCAGTACTAAAAAATATTAAGGAACATTCCACAGAAACCCTCCTCACCCCAAGTAGGGCAGTGTAGGGGTAAGGAATGGATAGTTTAAATAGCTATTTCTCTCTCTCTCTCTCTCTCTCTCTCTCTCTCTCTCTCTGGTACAGGAAATTGGACCCCAAGGCGCCTAACCACTGAGCCACATCCCCAGCCCTTTTTTATTTTTTTATTTAGAGACAGGGTCTTGATGAGTTGCTTAGGATCTTGCTAAATTGCTGAGGCTGGCTTCGAACTCACAATTCTCCTGCCTCAGCCTCCTGAGCTGCTGGGATTGCGGGCATGCGCCACCGGCTTTATTTTTTCTTTTCTTTGATGTTCTGGAAAGCTTGAGCAACCAACTCTCTTAAAAAATAAATAAATAAGTAAACAACAACAACAACAACAAAACCCCGCAATCTGTAGCATTTTAAAAATCTTTTACCATGGCCAACATCAAGTAGCGAACACGATGTCACCAAACAAGGAATTGGGAGAAGATGCCCAGTAGTGCATCACTGTATGAAATCTCCACCACACCGATATCTCACACAAACAACTTCAGGATTAATAGTAAAACAATTGAGAAGCAGTGAGTTTTGAATATTTACTACATTTATGTATTTTGATGTGATACATTTAATTGTGAGGTTATATAATATAATTTTTCATAATGACTGTGTTTAATAACTGGTTTGCAAAATTCTGGAAAATTCAATCTTGCAAGCCTTCTCGTTAGTGAGTGGTTCCAGCACAAGACTGCTTCCCCCCTCTCTCTTCTTCCCCCTCCATCCTCTGCTGCATTTCGCTGAACTCCTCTGTCTCCTCCTCCTCTTTCATGGGTTTCCTGGCATTCGGTGTGGATGGGAGGGATGGGGAACATGGAGAAGATCTCTGTGCAGACACTGCAGTTCTCTGAGCCAGCAGCCATAAGGTGTTAAAGAAAGAGGAGGGAGAAATGCAAATTTGGCTACTGAAGGACACTGATGTGTGTGTGAGTGTGTGTGTGCGTGCAAGCGCGCGTGGGGGGTGGGGTGGGGAGTAAGGTGGTGATTTTTGCAACTGGAGCATGAGGCTCTCTAATGCTTGGGCTAAAGACCCCTGTTTAGACAGGTGATTTTCTATGTGGCCTTGGGTGCCTCCAAGGGCTCCTAACTTGGAAGAGAGGGAGGGACAGACTAGGTGAAGCGGCCTATGGGGAGCCGAGGCAGGCAGAAGTAGGCGCTGGGGAACAGGCTCAGGTTGATGGGGTTCCCGTCCAGCCGAATGTCTTCCAGTGGCCTGCGGGTGTGTCTGTGCTCCACAGGGTCACAGAAGGCGTCTGTCTGCATGGTCTTTATCATGTTATTCTGGAAAGAACGCGCAGCCGCTGAGCACCCTCCCAGGCGCTCTGGCCCCAGGCAGCACCCAAGGTGCCACCAGCCCTTCCCACCAGCCCTGCCCTTCCTGTGCACTTGGGGAAACCGAGGCACCAGAGCCCAGACCACACAACGAGGGGTGAGAGGAGAGTCTCAAGCAGGGAGAGAGGTGGGAGAGATTAAGAGGGGTGAAGGATGGGAGGGAGAAGGAAGGAAGGAGGCAGTGATGGGAAGAGAAGAAGAGAAACAGGAGGTAGGAAAAGGGAGGAGGAAAAGCAGGTGGATGAGACGAGATGAAGAGGTAGAGGAGAGGGAGTGTTTTCAAAGGAAGAGACAGAGAAAATCAAACTGGAGCCATGGACCACCATCTAGACGAGACCATGTTTCCCACACACCTCTGATGCCCAGGCCTTATGGGGCCCCCTGCCCTGTTATCTGCTGTCCACCCTTTGCACTGGCTGTGGCCACCCTCTGCCCTGGCTGCAGCCTCCCTGTGGCTGAGGCTCCTCACCTGCAGGTGGAGTGAGCGCAGGCTCAGAGGCAAAGGCCAGGGGATAGAGTCCAGCTGGTTGTCTGCCAGGTAGAGAAACTGCAGCTTCTCCAGTGCCTGCAGGGACACAGAGAGCATGAGAGGCTAGTGGGCCCATAGGGCTCTGGCAGAGAGGAGGTTCCTGAGGTGGCCGGGGTCAAGTGACCCCCTTCCATTCACTCAGGGTTTACTGCTGTGTGCAGTGCTCTGTAGTGGGCTCTTTGGTGGTGGTGTTGGGGAAGCTCTGACCTTTAAGGAGTTTACGCACACTACACTACCTCTACCTATCCAGGTGCTGCTGTTTTTGAGGTGCAAGCAGCTAGAGGCATGGCAGGGGCTGTTAGTGACAGCTATGGGGAGCAGGGGATGGACAGGGATAAGGTAGAGGTGAGGAAGGACCAGGGGACATTTCAGCTCAGCCTCAACTTCTCTGCCATCAGATGGGATGTTTTCCCCCAGTGCAGATGTGTGGAGCTTGCTCGGGAGATGTCAGAGAATGAAAATCCAAGGCACACCCAGACCAAGGGTGTGTGAGCTCGAGAGCACCTTCAGAATCAGGTAGGCAAGTCAGAGAAGGATTTGGGATGAGATAAGCCTTTGGGGGCTCAGAGAGCAAGGAAGAATAATAGCTAATGTTCACGGAGCAGCTACTATCTATGTCATCTGCCCGGGCTCTGTGTAAGTGCTGTTTTACTAAATCCTGCGGCCATTGCGGCATGTAGGGGTTATTACTCTCAATTTGCAGATAAGGAAACAAGATCAGAGAGGTGAGATGACTCACCCATGAGTCCCTCTGGTTCCAAAGCCCCTGCCTTCCCCTGGACAAAGGAACAGCCCTGAAGGCAAAGAAGTCCTCCTAAGACGAGACGGTCAGGCTGTGTCTCAGGGCTGGGACTTGGATCATCAAGTCCAGGGGGCTCTGTGATCACCAGACCCCAGCTCTTCACTTTGAGATGGGAAGACTGGGGCCTGAGGACACCCCAGGGGAGGGTTCTGGTTTCCCGGAAGTAGGGCTAGTAGCACTGCACCCAGAAGGCTGAGGGTGGAAGGTGATTGGGAGAGGGGAGAGAACAGGAAAGTCTGTGCCTTCACCCGGTTTCAAAATGGCAGCTGCTTTATTTGATTTCTGCTCATCCTTCCTCCTCCTCTTCCTCCTCCTCCTCCTCCCTTTCTTTCTTCTCCTTCTCTTCCTCTTCCTCTTCCTCCTCCTCCCTTCCTTTCTTCTCCTTCTCTTCCTCTTCCTCTTCTTCCTCCTCTTCTTCTCCTTTCCCTCTCTCCCTCCCTCCCTCCCTCCCTTCCTTCCTTCCTTCTTCTTCTTCTCCTTCTCCTTGTACTGAGGGTTGAACCCAAGCTTCTCTACCTCTGAGCTACCTCCCCAGCACTTTGAATTTTGTATTTCAAGACAGGATCTAACTAAGTTACTTAGGTTAGTCTCAAACTTGCGCTCCCCCCGGCCCCCCGCCCCCCATCTCAGCCTCCCGAGTTGCTGGAATTACAAGTGAGCACCACCGTGCCTGGATATTTGATGCTTCTAAACAGTTTGCCAAAAGAGCCCACCATAGTCATGATTGCTGAACGACAGGGACACGTGTCATCAGGTAATTCTGCCGTTGTACGAACATCACAGAGCGTATTACATGAACTGAAAAGGCTACAGCGTCACTAGGTGAGACAATCTTAGAAATGAAGAAGATACTGGGCTTTTGAAGGCCATTACTAATGTCCAGCCAGTATGCATGCAGGGGTCAGCCTTGTCCACACTGTGCTTCACTTCTTCAGTGGAACCGCACCCTCTGTTCTTCCTAATCCTGTCCCAGGGGGGCATATGTTTTTAATTTGTTGTTTTTAGATACTAGAGTATATTTTGACATGTTATACATACATGGAGTATAACTTCCCATTCTTGTGGTTGTGCATGGCGTGGAGTTACACTGGTCATGCCTTCATATATGAGCACAAGACAGTTATATCTGATTCATTCTACTGTCTTTCCTATTCCTATGCCACCCCCTTCTCTTCATTCCCTTTTGTCTGATTCAATGAACTTCTATTCTTCCCCTCCTCACCTTCCCTTATTGTGGGTCAGTATCCACGTATCAGAGAATATTAGGCCTTTGGTATTTTGGGGACTGGCTTATTTCACTTAGCATGATATTCTTCAGTTCCAACCATTTATCAGAAAATGCCATAATTTCATTCTTCTTTATGGCCGAGTAATTTTCCATTGTGTGTATATACTACATTTTGCTTATTCATTTATCTGTTGAAGGTCACCTACGTTGATTTCATAGCTTGGCTATTGTAAATTCAGCTGCTACAAACATTGATGTGGCTGCATCACTATAGTATGTTGATTTTAAGTCCTTTGGTTATATGCCAAGGATGGGATAACTGGGTCAAATGGTGGTTGCATTCCAAGTTTTCTAAGAAATCTCCAAACTGCTTTCCAGAGGGGTTGCACCAGTTTACAGTTCCACCAGCAATGTATGAATATACCTTTCCCCCCACATCCTTAACAATATTTATTGTTACTGTATTCTTGATAATAATCGCAGGAGGGCATATTCACATCCTATAATTTAGCCTTTCCCATCAAAACTAGACAGACAGACAGCCAAGGACTCATTGGATTGACTCTCTTGAAAACTGGATAATAGAGGATTACTTGTTGATGGTTTTTTGGGGGGGGGGATGATATTTAGGATTTAGGGTTAGAGTTAGCACTTTGCAAGCCAAAGCCAAAGGCATTTGGGGGTGGGGTCTGGCGTTTTGGGGAGCAGATCCTGGGAGTGTGCTGAGGATGCAGGTGTGCAGAGAGGTGAATGGAGCCGACGCAGAGAAAGAAGCCAAGACAGGAGACACACGCCCCTCAGAGGAGCAGGGAGCCTGGTTTCTTAGCATTGATCCTGGTTTTGGCCCCCCATTCCCAGTAACAGGCTCATGAGGCCTGATAGTCCTGGGTTTCCGAGGAGGCTCTAGAGATGGCATGCTATGAAACTCCCTTTCCTTGAGTCAGAATCCATTTCTTCCAACCCAAAGTACAAACAGAAAAGGATAAAAAATAATCATGGATTTTTAGACCTCAGAACACCCTGGAGGGTGCACCGCGCATGATGTGGGTGGGGGCAGGCGGCATGTGGTGGTCTGAGTCCCTGACTTACCCTAAAGGCCTCCCGCTGTATCCCCGAGCTCCGGAGCCGATTCAAGCGGACATCCAGGAACTCGATGCCACTGGGCAGCAGGGGCAAAGCCACCAACTGGTTCTCTGGAAGGATCAGATCCTGCAGGGCAGGCAGCAAGCGGAGGGCGTCATTGTCAATGGAGGAGATGAAGTTGCTGGTGAGGTCAATCCTTTTCAGTTTTGCTGAGGGACATTGAGAGAGAACAAAGAAAGATACTGGGACACATTATCTTTCCTTGCACCCTGTTGGATGTGCCTGGGTATCCTGCTCCATCCCTCTCAAGATAAGGGAATTCTAACCAGCTCTCTCCCTGCAGTAGATCCAAACCAGCAGAAATTACAGTCTAAAGGACCCCTTGGAAAAGCCTGCGGATTCGTCAGTACCTTTCCCTGGATTCTGGGTTGCCCACCTTGGATCCCACTGGAAGAAACCTCTGAAAGGCAAGAACCAACTAGCCCGGGAATCTCTGGACCCATCCCACCTGGTCCCCAGCAGCGTACTGAGCCCTCTGCACTTTTCACAATGGGCACCAAGGCTGGAAAGGCTGTGGGTGATTGGCAATGGAAGCTGAAGTGGAGCCCGGGTCTCCTATCCTAGGCAGGACATGAGGCCTAGAGCAACCAACAGCATCAGTAGGTGGAGGATGATCTGATCCAGAGGCCAGCAGAACTACAGGTGCTGGGACATACTGAAAATGTTGGCTTCATCCCACCTTCCCTGCCCAGATGTTTATGGAAAAAAAAAATGAGAAGAACACTTCTACCACTTAAACTCTTCAAAGAAAGGAATTAGAAGGACTTGGAGGATCTTTCCCTTTGACAGCTGGAGAGACAGAACTAAAAGGGAAAGACTAACACCCAGGTGGGCTGGGGCTGAAGCTCAGGGGTAGAGCACTTGCCTAGCATGTGTGAGGCCCTGGGTCCCATCATTAGCACCACATAGAAATAAATAAAGGTCCATCAACTAAAAAATATTTTTTAAAAAGACTCACACAGGTGGGGGAGAACAGTGTCTGGTCACTGTTCATGTGGCCAGGTGCAAAGGAAAGGAACCTGGTGGCCCCCCCTCCCCTTTTCTCAGGGCATTACATACTCAGCCCTTTGAAGTCTCTGGTCCTGATGCGGCTGATGCGGTTGAAGCGGGCGTACAGATAGGTGGTCATCCGGGGAAGAGGAGGAATGTTCTCTAGGTCAATGTCATCACAGTACACAGAAGATCCAAGGCACACACAGACCAGGCAGGTGGGCAGGCCTGGCCCAAGTGGAAGACAGAACGAAGGGAAACCCCCTGATCAGACTCCCTTCAGCCTCTGAAGCCCATGGCTCCTGACCCAGGGAGTATCTGAGCCACGTGTCCTCTTGATGGCCTGCGGGTTGCTGTCTAGAACCAATTGGCCTGATGCAGCCAGATGGTACTGACGGCTCTCAGCCTGTCCCTCAGCCCTCAACCTAAGAGAATCAATCAGCTTTACCTTAGTTCCTACTCAGTACTTTCATCAGACCCTGGTCCTTTGTAGGTTTTCCTGGGTCTATGTGAGCATTTCTAGGATATCTAGTGGCCTTTTTCCCACAGGTCTCCTCTCTGGTCTCAACAGGAAGAGTAAAGATGAGACAAAGCCAGAATTCAGCGGAATAGTCGGGGGGTTGGTTGCTGGGTCTGCCAGCTGCCTTTGGGAAGAGCAGTTGGACATGTTCTCTGAGGCTCTGAGAAGCACAGTAAGGCCCAGACGGACTGGCCAATGCCCGTGCCACATCCATCTCCCCTTCTTACGGCAGCAGCACCCCGATTTTCTACTGGGAAACAGCCCTCCCCTAGGCCCCGTCCATGGCCCCACCTCTGTATCCGGCACTCCTGCGGCTAAGGCAGTCCATTCCAACTCAGACCACCTTTAAAAAGTTGGGAAGACTGTATTGGCTCAGGCCCAGGACCCTACGGGAGGCTCTGTCAGTTGTTCTCACAGGACAGAAATTCCTGTGAGGCCAGTATTAGCCCGACTCAAGGAAGCACTACGGTAGCAGTAACAGCCTCAAGATGAAGTAGCAGTTCCCTGCCAGCAGTGACCAGCGGGGCTGGTAAAGCAGGGGCCCCAGGACCCTTCTTATCCCAAGGCCTTGAATGGCAGGTCCAGCTAAGGCTCTTTACTGTCTCTTAAGGGTTTAATAGCTTCTATGGCTCTGCAAGGTCACGTATCCTGACCAAAGGCCTTGGCTGATGCTCCAGTCCCCCAGGAGCACCCGCGCAAATACCCTGAGAAGAGGGATGCCGAGTGCAAGCAGGCCCAGAATGAGCTGCTTCCTTCCGATGCCCCAGTTTCTGGTCCCCAGCAGCGTACTGAGCCCTCTCCACTGGCCACACCAGCATCCCTGGCTCCAGAAAGGCTTTGGGAGGGAACGGGGAGGGGCTGGGGCTGCTAAGGAGGTGAATGTGAGGCTGAAAGCAGTGACTGCTTCATTGGCCCCCATGCCAATGACAGCCACAAAGTTATTTATTCTTCTCTACAGGCTTTTAATTGTCTCTAATCTAATTACCACTCAAGTTGCTCCCTGAGCGATGCTGTTAATTAGGGTAGGGTGGCTCTGCGGGGGCACAGGGAAAGCTTGCAGTTGCTTCACCTAGGAAAGCCAAGCCCCCCGCCCCCCACAATGGCTATCTCCCCTCCTCTCCCTGCTGTTAGGTGCCAGCCTTGACATTCTGTTTCTACTCCTGACCACACTCCACTTGGGTACCACCTGGTGCTGGGTCATGGCTGCCGGGCCTTGGACCTACAGATATGATAACCATTTGACTGTGTACTTACCATGGCTGGCTGGGGAGCCCAGTGGGCCTGGCAGAGTAGGCTTGGTCATCGTGGGGTTTGACAAGGGTGTCCCTGGAGTCACCTTGCTCTGGGTGGGACTGATCCTGGTTGGAGGAGCCAGGCTGGTTACCTTAACCTGGAGACACAGCACACAGCATACCATAGGCTGGATTTTGCCCACAAAGGACCTAACTTTGGGCTTTAGAAACCTCAGTGACCCATCTCAAACCTGCAAAGAGTCACTGTGAAAGAGGACGGAGGAAGAGCACCAAGAGTGAGCCAGGAAGGGACCTTAAAGAGTATCAGATCCACATGTTCATTAGATAGATGAGGAAACTGAGGCCCAGAGAGGGGAGGGACTCGGATCAGGGAGCCAGTCGGTGCTAAGGCAGAGCTAGCACCTGGGTCCCCAATTCCCTAAGCAGGTGCTCCTCCATGCTGACCTGGCTCACAGCACCCACAGCAGAAGCTTCAAACTGGAGGACAGTCTAGGAAAAGAGATGCAGGTGATATTTCCTTTTGGGAGAGAATATGAGGACTTTGCTGACCCTTACCTCAATGAGGCACACTGTCATACCTGACAGCCTGGGAGGGACGCATGACTTCTAAGGGGGTGAGGGGGGTCCTTCTAATTTGCTATCAATATTCTGACTGGAGGTTTGTGTTCTCTTTCTTAATATCATGTAGGTGACAATGTCCTATGGAGGGTCCTATACCCCTTACAGAGAGTTGGAGGCTTGAGAAGCCTGCATCTGGGGCAGGTGGAGAGGGGCCAGGGGCCTGGTCTTGCAGGGTATGGTCAGTTTCGTGTCCCTCACCTCAGCCAGCTGGTCCCCGTAGTCAGCCAGCTCCTCATAGCTGCTGAGGTCAATGACCTCACTGTAGTCATCCGGGCTCACCATGTAGCTCCCCACATGCAGCTCCGAGTAAGGATCGCTTTCCCCATAGTGGCTCTGCTCCTCTCTCCTCCTCTGTTCCTTCTCTGGGAGAGAAGCCGGCCCTGCCTCCTGCAGCACCAAGGCCAGCAGGCTCAGGAACAACGTGGAGAGCCTCATGAGGGGCCTGGGGGTGGAAATGGGGTGAGAACTGGGTGGAATCACTACAGCACCCATCCTGGGGGGTGCACATGAGGAAGAGCGGCTGTCTGTGCCTGGTGGGAATGGCTTGCAAACTTCCTCCCCTTCCCACCATTCATCATGCACGCTTACTCAGCTCCTTCACTCCACGCTCAAGCTCCCTAAAGGCTGGGCTATGACTGGGGACACCCCCAGCACCTCTTCCACACACCCACACTGGTGTTATCTCATACAGCACATGCAGACACCCACATAATCCTGATTCCTCATCACAGACTCACTCACCAAAGCCCTTTATCCATGCACCTCCCAGCGCTCCCGGCATGCATTTGTGCATCTGTGTAGATATTCTCCCTTAACTGCACACTCAAAATATAACAGTTAGATACTAAATTAGATTTAGAGAAACCCTCAACCTCAAGGAGTCTTTTGTAGTTTGTGTGTGTGTGTGTGTGTGTGTGTGTGTGTGTGTGTGTGTGTTAGAGATCACTCAAACATGCATTCACTCAACAAACATGTATGGGGTCCTTGTTAAGTTCCTGACACTAGATTTGCCTCTGGCAGGGGCAGAATGAACATGGTGTGGCCCTTCTCAGGAGCACCTCATCTGTTTGAAGATATGGACTTAAAATTTGACATGCAATGTAAAGAATGTTAGTTCATAAAATAGATTGAGAGAGGCAACTTTTTACAAACCTATTTCTAGAAATCAGAGAATTCTTTGTGTGTTGTAAGAGAGTAGACACATCCAGAAAGTTCCTTAGATATCTGTACATCTGTGTATGTGTGAGCGCACTGGTGACCATGCCCATGTGCGATGGTCACGTGAGTGTGAATGTTCATTTATTTAGCTCACCCATGTTGTACAGATGGACAGAGAGATGTGTGTGGAATGGCCGTGGATGCATCCATGGAGAGTGGATACACAGACACAGCAGGTGTGTGACTGATCACACGGCCCTCCCCAAAGTCCCTGCACACATTTCTAGTAGACCCTCCTCCTCAATTTCAGCTGGGCAAAGGGCTAAGCCCCCAGCAGTAGCAGAGGGGCACATTTCACCTCACTTCCCATTCCTTACTCCAAATCAAACTACGTGAATTTTAAATAAACTGCTGAGGCAGAGTTCACTACCCAACCAGAAGCCTCCTCCAACTTCTGCAGCCAGAGGCCTAGACTCCCTCCGTCCTCCCTGGCCCAGCCCCAGCCCTTTCCCCTCACCTGTGGCCCTGAGGCCTCCAACCTTGAACCTTACCCTTTAGATGCCCTTTGGTTCCAAATGGAGGCCCTACAGCGTACAGACAGAGGGACTCTGATGGAAAGGGTGGCTGCTGTGGGGCAGACGCTGGGCAGGAGGACAAGCAGGCAGGCAGGCGTGGGTCCAATCAGACTTCTCATTCTTTGTGATGTCCTGCTGTTTCCCCTCCTCTTTCCTCAGGGGGTCCCCAATTCCATTCCTTTGCTGGATCAAGGAAATTCTTCCTCTCTCTTCCTCCACCGGCTTTGCCACCCACCCCCTCTCTTTCTCTTAACTGTCTGCTCCCTCTCTTTCTGGCCGCCCTCCCGATAAGGCCAGGTCTTTGAGGGGCAGGCCGTGCCCACCCTAAAATGAAGGGGCCTCACCCTCAGATTCTGAACTTTCTGAGAAGGCTGGGTTGAGGGTATGTGGAGGGCTGGAACTTGCCTTCCCAGTTTTTTTTTTTTTTTTTTCCCCTCTCCAACCAAAGAGTGATGAAGATTGGCTTCATAGATGGAATCGAAAGATAAAAAGAGGCTGAGCCGAGGAGTGCCAACCAGCCCCAACACCCACAGTCCCTGAGAGGAACCATATTGAACAAAATCACCAGCGGGAGGGTCTGGGCCTGCGGGATGCAGAGAGATGGTGAAGAGGGGGTGGGGAAGGATTCGAAAGCCAACTTAAAGTTCACAGATGATGATCAGGAGGAGGATGCAGAAAATTCTTTAAAACTTCTAGGAAGAAAGGACATGGAACCAGAAGTCTCCTCCAACAACTCCAAGGATGGGAGTTGGGCTTGGACACCAGAAAGGACTTCCTGATCATAAACACTGAAGACCCCACGAGGAGCCTTTGGGGCTGGCTGGGAAGTACCTCCTCCCCTCAAAGATGTTCTTATCAAGAGAAATTCTTCTTTACTTGGTGCCTCAGACAGGCGGTGAGTGGGTGTGGCTAAAATGTTTCTCTGATTCTGCCAGGCTCTTCCCTGATGTTCTCTGCCCCCTGTTCCCTCCCACTGGCTAATCCTTTATTCTAGCCGCAAGGCCAACTGAGTCTAATCCCTGTATGGAACAGATGAGGAAGCCAAGGCTCAGAGAAGGGCGGTGACTTGCCCAAGATCACTCAGAGCCACACCCAGCACCTAGATTCCCTGAGTCTCACACCAGAGTTTGCCTTGGTTTGTAGGATTTCATCTTTTCGACCTCATCCCAGGGAGCCCTGAGACCATGTGTCTCTGAGCGCTCAGAACAGATGGTCTTGGCAAACTCATCTCTGCCCTGGTCTAACAGGTAAAGGGGCAGACCTCATAGCCGGTGTGGGAGGGGGCCTTTCCTCAACCCAAGAAAGCTGGGCACCTGAGAAATGTACGTTCCTGTGCCTCTGGCACTTCCCCACCCTGGAGCCACACCATCCAGGGTGGAGGGAGGTGTAGTCCTGCAGCCAGAAGGGATCCGGGGAAGCAGATGGCACATTTGGCAGACTGTGCTCCTCGGCTTTCCTCTCCATAGCCAGGCCAGAGGACCTGTGTCCCCAAGGTCGATCTGGGAGCAACCCCCCTCCGGTCCCACACTTTATTCCAGCCAACGCTACTGTTCATTCATTCCCCCGCCACTTGCTTCCTCCCTCCCTCCCTCTCCACTCTCTCATGACACCCTCGCAGGTCGCGATGCCCTCTGCCCTGCGATGAGTCCTCCTCCGAGCTCCCTCCAACCTCACGGCCAGCCTCGCGACCGCGCATGCGCCGGCTGCCTGACGCGCGCCCCCGCATCCTCCACTGGGAGCCACCTTCTGATGCAGGCTCTGGTCCTAGACTCTCTCCCAACTTCTGTTCTCGCTTTCGCAAGCTCGCGGTTACACACCGGTTCCCATGGATTTCAGGGAGTGGCCATGGACATGTATGAGTGACCTGCGTGGGAAATGGCCCACCCGCGTGCTGTTGCAGACGGCTCAGCTCCGCGAGAGCCTGGCAAAGGGGGCGGGTGGTCGGGGGAGGCGTCCTCATCCTAATCTCTCATTAGCAGAGGCACCAGGCATGTTGATGGAACGGAGGTGGCAGGCGGTGTGGACAGAAGCCTGGCCAGATGACCTTGTTGCCGCCTATGTTCTGGGCAGGGAGAGTGGTGGGGGTGGAAAGTTCAAGAACCCTCCTGCTTTTTGGATAGCAAGGTATATTCCCTGCTGAGGACTGCTAGCCACATAACTCCAGGACAGGAACACAGTTCTTTCTTTCTCCTCAGAATCCCCCTCCCCCTTCCCCAGGGTGGACTCCTCTCCTCCTTGAGTTGGCCATTCCAGACATGTGCTTTTTCCTTTTCCCATTTGACAAAATTCGAGTGATCCCTAAGAGCCCGCTTACATGACAGGAGCCTTTCCAGTTTCCTCTAAGCAGAGACAGGGGTCCTCTCCTCCCTCCTGTTTGTGCACAGCATGGCTCCTAACGCTTCAGACTGAAATCCAATTCGTGGAATTTCCCCCTTTACCAAGTTATGAATTCCTCAAGGGCATGGGGTCTGTATTGCTCAGCCTAATGGACCTGAAGCAGGTGTTCAGCAGGCAGGACCGGAAGCAGGAGGGCATATTTGGCAGTTTTCTCCTACAGAAGGTGGTATGAACTGGGATTCTAGTAAGTCACTTTGAAGCCAAGTTCCTTCCAAAGAGGAGTCAGGGGAACCCCCTGCTTGCCTTTCAGGAACTTCTGCATGGCCCACAGACCATTTCAAATGATTTGGCCCTTTATTCTCTGCCCTCAAAATGGCTTTTCCATTGTTCCTGTGCACATTACATTTCCCCAATTCATCCCTAAGCTTGGCCAGGAAAGTTGACTGTTTTGTCTTTCCACCTGTGCCTCAAAACTGAGCCCGGGGAGACCTTGACAATTTAGTGTCTGTGGGTCAAAAAGAACCTGGGGGTTTGGATTCAGATGTGGCCGTTTGATTTCTGGTCTAACATTAGGAATAATTTCTCTTGAGGACTATGAGTTTTGAGGAAATTCTCTGAGAAAAAGCTTTGAGATGACTGTCCCAGAAGATTCTTAAGAATAATATCTTTCCTCCTCCCATCTTCTCAGTAAGTGATGTGGAGGTGGGGGGTGGTGTCAGGGAATAGGGATACAGATGACTTTAAGGTATTATCTTGACCTGTTCACAGTCTCAAGTTCAAGCAAGTTGTTTTTTCAAATTACTTTATTTCCTCTGCTGTAAAGCGTGTGGAAATGTGAAACTTGTTCCACAAAGTTAACATGGTCTTCAAGAGAGAGTAGCTATATGTGCAGAGTACACATACACACCTACGTACACACCTGTTTATGTAGATGCCAACAGCACTGAGGCGATGAACTTGGGTAAAGAGAAGGGGCTTTCTAAACCGAAAGGCAACCTGCCCATTGTGTGTGCTTGGCCGGGGTGGGGGTAACCTATGATGCCAATTGAATGCTACCCCATGTGGTGGACAGCTGCAGAGAGCAACACAGGGAGCAGACGGATTCTAGATGGGGCAATGGAATGACGATGATGGTGTGGCCGCTAAAGGAAAATAGTTCAGGTTTGCAGGACTAGGCTCCCCCTGGGGAGTCACAGGAGCTGTGCTCCCCTGAGGGCCTCACCAAAGGGGCTGAGGTCACAAGGTGTGAACAGGTCCGAAGGGGGCTTATCCAGGCCATAGCACCAGGTTGCTTGCAGCCATAATAATATGTTGACTTTAAGCAGGAGCCTTGGAGAAACCAGCTGCAGCCAGAAGAGGAAGCTGAATGGAGCAGGGAAAAGAGTCGGGGGTGGGATGGGCCTAGAAGGTGCAAAAAAGAAGTGAATGAGAGTATAATAGAAATGCCTTAATGTTAGGGACTTGGCTTAATCCAACTTATTGAAACCTTTGGAGCTTTTCTCATCCTGACTTGAGGATGGGCACTGTGTTACCTGTTTCCAGAACATCCACCTCTCCATACTCCCCACCAGCATACACACTCAGGACGACAGAGGGTCAGAACCCCTGGAGTAAATTAGGGGGGAAGAGGTAGGTGAGGAAGCCCAGGTGCCACTTGGAGACCTGCTGAGCTGCTCACCTGGGCCAGGTAAGGAGAAAAGAGAATCCTCTGGGAAGGGACAATCATATAGGGAATAAATTACTGCAAAGAAAGGGGTAATAGGTAAGACTTGTCCTGCATTAGGGTGTGCTGGAGAGTGCAGAGATGAAGACTTGGCACATGAGAACTGGGATCTCAAAGGAGCATCTTATCTCCACCTGTGTTTATGGATGTGGGAGCTGAGAGCAAATGGATCTGTCAGGATCAAGGTCAAACTGTATTCTCATCTGGGCTCGCCAAGGTTTCCCATTTATGCTCATTCACTGTTAGTAAAGATGCAAACCTCTACACCTTTGTGCCCTTTGGGCTCTAGAGGAGAGAGGCACCATGCATGTCACCCGTGGCTCTTCCAAGCTGGAATCCTATACCAGCTTCTTAACCTTGGAACATCACCCCACGGAGAGGGTGAGGAGTCTGGAGCCAGCTGTGACCTTCGGCAGCCACCAGGTGTCACTGATGTGTCTGTCTTAGAAATGGGGGCCAAATTCCAATGTGGCAGAGGCTTCTGGGAGATTTCCAGATGCTCCGCCCCTTCTTCCTTGTTCCTCAAGAACCGCCTGCTTTTGGGGTGGAAGTGACTGGGCTGATCACACTAACACAGAACAGATGGCGGGGTGGGGCGGTGTCTCTTGACCTTCCACTGTGAACACTGTGTTCCCCAGGGCCTCAGGACTTGTGTTAAAGTTGGGTGGGTGGGGGGCTGCAGGGCCCATCTATACTGACATGGGCCCAGCCTCAGACCCTGATCCCCAGCCCTCTCCCTCTAGCTGAATCCCAGTTCTTTGAGCCACTGTTTCTCTCTGAGGCCCAGCAGGAGACTGGGTTTGCCTGGAGAAGGAGGAGGGACTTCAGACTATCCCTGTGCAGAGACAGCCAGATGCAGGCCCTTTGGGAACCCTCACCCTCCGGCCCATCTTGGTCATTCCCTCACACTTCCTTCCTGGATAATGTGGATGGCAGAGAGCAGTGCAGTGTCCCTGAACAGGGAGGTGGAACAGCAGTTGTGGAAGGAGGGATCCTTGGTTGAGGAGACCTGGATTTCTCAGCCTCTTTGGGACAGCGTTGCCCAAGATGGAGAAATCTCCAGCAGGACTCTCTGAAGCTCACCTCTGGGCTTCCCCAAATCATCTCTGTGTCTCACTTGGCCAGGACCAAGGTCAGATGTCAATCCATGGCCCAGCCTGAGCCAGGAGTGACGGGTGGAAGAGGGAAGAGGGTATGTGAAGTCCTTAGGCATACATCTGTGTTTCTGGAGCAGAGGGAGACCACAGGAGGCCAGCCGTTTGGGGG